AGCTTAGGGTAACGGGAGGACGCTAGTTTGTGTCTTCCCGTTACCCTAAGGAGAACTATGGGGAAAAACACTGACCCCATAGTTCTCCTTTAATAACTAGCAGTGCCAATAGTTGGCTTTAGATGCTTGGAGAGAAAAAAAAAAAAAAAACACAAAAAAAAAAAAAAAACAGCTGGAATGACTCTGGTGCCATCTAGTGTTCATAAGTAACAATTACATGGCAAACAGATTTGGCAACAAATATTTATAAAACATCTTGTTAAAGAACTATGAGGTGAGTGATTTTCATAGTTCAAGCCGACGTGTGACAATAAAACTGTCACACGTCAGCTCAATAGATCGGGAAGCGAGCGAACACATACCGTCGCTCGCTCACTTCTCGATCATTTCCCTGCAGAGAGCCGTGACTGTTCCCTGCAGGGATTCCCCCCTCCCCACTCCGATCCTCCAGTTCTGACTGGCGGAACGGACGGGGGAGGTGACGGGCACAGCTGGCTCTGCCTCTAGATAGTAGATAGAGTGTAGTGGTCTGAAATGTTGTGTGCCATGCTTCTGGTCAGTGGAAGAAAATATGCCCTAACATTGGTGTGAGAAAGTGGAGTAAGAGACCTCACCCACCTCCATCTTAAAATGGCTAAGTCTGTGTGGGTGCACCGTGTGGAAAGCAAGGGTACACAGTATAGGTGGCCAGTATTTCAGCTCCCTCCCTCTCAGCTCTTTCAATACATGCAATCAAAGTGTTCACAATTGCTTTTCTTGTAAATATTAAATCCTTGATAATAAATATCCCTCTGGAAAGTTCAATCATATGTAGCGCTCACCCCCGAAGGAGCCGCTGAATATTGAAAAGCAGTGCTGAAGATTTGTCCCAAGTGCACCACACACTCTTTCTCCTTAAGGTGCCCATACACTGCTCGATTCTCGTACGAGAATCGCGGGAAATCCCGCGATCGTACGACAATCGTGCAGTGTGAATGAAGACGTGCGACCGTTTCTACTGTACGGTCGCACGTCTTTTGTCTAAGGAGCACGCTAGAAAACTGGCCGAAAATCGTAAGATTTTCGGCTGGTTAGAACGGTGCTCGGGAGACAAATGCCGAACGGGCCGGTGTGCACACACGCACACTGCCCGTTCAGCATTGTGGTCATCGGAAGCCCGCCCCTCAGGGGGGCGGGCTTGCGCTGATCGAGAGTACGATCGGCCTGTCCAAGATGGGCAGATCGTACGTTTTTTTAATCACTTTACAACCATCGCAAGACTAAGGTCTTGCGATGGTTGTACAGTGTATGGCCACCTTTCCACTGTGAAAGTTCTTTATACAAAGTCCATACGTCAACTCCAATTATCACCCAGGTGCTCCCCCTCTCAGTGGGCCGCTCAGTGGGATGTCCATATACCACTTTAAGACCAAGGACTTGCCGATATCAATTACTGATACTTTTTCTTAAAGGGACATGTGAATGTTTTTCTAAAACAACACAGACTAATGATTTTAGGGCGGTTTCTCACCCGGGCTAAATACAGATGTCCCCAGAGCACAATACATCCCACCGCAGCAGCACAATACATCCCACCGCAGCAGCACAATACATCCCAGCAGAGCACAATAGGTCAACACACAGCAGCACAATAAATCCCACAACATCTGCACAATAGATCCCACAGCAGCACAATACCACCAGAGCAGAAGGCTGCAGTCTCAAATGGGCGGCATGTGGATCTCTGCAGGGCTCTCAGTTGATCGGATGGGTGCCGGTGTTCTATCGAAAGCTCCAACTCTTTGAAATCTCCAACTACCTCACTCCCGGTGCTCAGAAAGACTGGAGTTCTGTACAGTTGTGGTGCACATAGCGGTTTCAGTCGAGTTTGCTACCTGCTGAAAACTGTTAAAATGCAGCTGTACAGAGCTCCGTCAGTCTTTGTCTTTTGCAGTCTAACGCCGTCTGGTGGAAGTCTCCAACTTGCAACTACCCGGCAGTGAGGTATTTGGAGATTTCGACGAGTTGGAGCTTTCGATAGAACACCGGTGTCCGAAGCTGTACTGTGCTGTGTGTGGGGCTGTCCATGGCTGTGCCAGGAAGAAGGAGCAGGTGGTATAGAAATGGACAGGCACTGCCAGGACCCCAGCAGGCTGCCGAGGTCCAAACAAAAATGTGAAGGGCCGGCATCGGCCTTAAGAATCGAGGCATTTTCACGAGAACACGTACTTGTGGAAATGCCTGGTATCGGCCACGATACCGACACTAGTATCGGTATCGGGACATCCCTACTGCAAAGTTAAGGAATGGAGTTTGTTACAGGCTCTCATGGTGTTAATGAGGAGGTCGAGACTTGGCTCCTTAAACAGATAGAAAGGACTGCAACGGCAGCTAATACAATTCCCCACGGCATTCATCAACCATTCCGCAAATCGGAATCCAACTCCCTGCTCTTTCTTCAAAAATGATATGACCTCAACTATAAACCACTTCTTAAGGAGACCTCTAGAGAACTTCAAAGCCTTACTAAATTTGACCTATCTGGTAGGATAACAATTTAAAATGCCAATTCTCCCTTTATATAGTCAGTGCAATACCAATAACATCCCCCCACATTCCCCCTTCCTTTTCAGAAATACAAAAAAAAAATACGTCTTTCATAAATATATGGAGGGGGGAAAACCCATGTGTGCCACATACCTTCTTCATAAAACACAAAGCTACAGGAGGACTAGCCCTACCAAATATTTTCCACTACCAAACTGCATCACTTTTGAACCAAATTCAATTTGGGTGTAAGAAATCCCCTGATTAGTTGTGGTTACAAATGGAACACAATTTCCTACCGTGCACCAACAACCCTTATAGAAATGTGCAATTTGTTTTCTTCCAAATCGTAATTTGGACAGATACCGGCAGATTTTGATGCATCCAAATGAAAAGAAATATCGAGTCCGAGCATATCCATAACAAAGGGTTTGGGTGCATCCCAAAAAAATATATATTTTTTTCCCCGAATGTCAATGAGAATTAATTTTTGTTAAACCTTAAAAAAAAGGCAGCTCCCCAATTCATTCAACAAATAAACATTACAATAATAAACAAACACACCGTACCGATGACCGCAGTGAGGGGCGGGCTTCCGATCACTGCAAACGGGCGCACACCGGCCGGTTCGGCAGATGTCGAACAAGCAGTCCACTAACCCGCCGAGAATCGTACGATTCTCTGCGGGTTTTCAAGCCTGCTTGTTCGACTGAAGACGTGCGACCGTACAGTAGAAACGGTCGCACGCCTTCCATACACTTTGCGATTATCGTACGATCGCAGGATTTCCCGCGATTCTTGTACGATAATCGTGCAGTGTATGGGCACCTTTAGAAACACGAAGAGATAATCTAATCACCGGTTTATTACATTCACCTGTGTGTTAGAGGCACAACTCACTTTATGTTGACGATGTATCACAAGTGGGCGTTTGCATATAAAGTGGATTAATATGACTTTGTATACTATCAGCATCTAATGGATACATTTTTCTTTGTTGTGAAGCACTTAAAATGTGATACAATTGTAGACATATTGTATCCAGATACGGAGCACATTTGAAAGTGTGGCACATTACATTTATAATAATGTTTGTGAATGCCACCCATGTAACCTATGCGGCATTGTGTGGCAATACCACTGTGTTATGTGGCCTCAAAGTGACCCAGGATTCTCAGCCATAGGGGCTGAGTGGCTCCAGGAAGACAATACGTGTACCAGGAGAGAACTGCCTTTTCAGTCCTTTCCTTGTTTTCTGGATCCTAGTTGGGATCCTGGAGGCAGAAGATTTCTTAGAGCTCTGGATGGGAGGAAATCTCCAGTTCCCCTTTGGGTTTGGGAACCATAAAAAATGCTCAAGAAAACTTCTGTAAATGTTCGGGGACAGGCACCAGCTTGATTGCACCCTAATCCAAGAGCCCAGAAACAGCTTGGTGAAGGGTAAAGGTTGCATGGTCCTGTCAAGACAATGGGTGATTGTAAACTCAAACCTTCAGTCCCCAATCTAGTACAGCGATGATAGTGTGGCACTTACTCCCACCTTGCCCATTCATAAAACACCTTGCAATGTTTTCACTGAATACAAGGTATTCTGTGAGAGCACAAAAGAATGGGCAGATGAATGTCACTATCTTACCCCCTGAATCACAGAATGCCTGGCCAGGAAAAAAATAAATAAATCTTTGGCTGCACTGGTGGAGTGTTGGCAACCAGCAAGCCCAGTATGAATCGACCAGCAGCTGTCGATTGAAGAGTTTCACAATTTTTTGGTAAGATTAAGTCTTGAAGTCAACACAACCGAGAAAGGCATCATGTCTCTTAGGGGGGGGGGGGGGGAATAAAAAAAAAAAAGGGAAAGATGGGGC